TTTAAAGGTAAAAATATTTTAATAAAAACCTTTAATTATTAGTTATACTTAATAATATAATATTAATTATTAATAAAATTAATAATAGGTAATTTAATGTTAAAACGGAATAATATTTACTACTACAGTAAATAATAAAATATAAATAAATACAACTATAAATGGTATTCAATTTAAAATGTATAAAATTTATGATAAAGAAAAAAGTTATTTTTTTTAATTATAAGTAAGTTATTTTGAAATAGTATATATTATTTATACTATAATAAAAAATTAATTTTTAGTATATATATATATATATATATTTAATTAATAATTAATTATTATATATAGTCTATATAAATAATATATTCTATTTTTATTTTTTTCTCTTATCACTAAAATTGAGTTTATTATAATTGGATAAAATTTCATCATTAATAATACTTTTACTTCTTCTAGTTTAAATAATTTTATTTTTAATATATAAAGTATTTTTTAAATTTCAATAATTATTAAAAATAAATTCATCTGAATTTAATTTTAAAGAGTTTTAATTTATTTTATATTTTTAAAAATTAAAAATTTTGGATTTTAACAATTTTTATGGAGGCTTTTTTATTTTAAATAAATTTTAATTATTAAAAATATTAAATGTATTTTAAATATTCTATTAATTTGTATTATATTAATTAATATCATTTGTTTTATCTTCATTCTCATTTTAAAATTTTAATAAATCAAAAAAACCTGAACTTTCTTAAGAATTATATAAAGTATCGTCTAAACAAATAAAATTTTCTAATATTTAATCATAATATTATTTTTATTATTTAAAAATAATTTCTTATTAATCAGCCGAATTAATATTATTATTTTAAAAATAAATACTTTCTAAATTATTAATATATTTTTTAGCATAATATTAATTTTTAAAATTATTATTTAAAACATTATTAGTATATTTTTCTTTAATATCATAGTTTTAGATAGATATTTTTTATTCTTCATCTTCATTAAAAATCTATTTTAATTTATTATGTAAAATTTATACAAAACTTTTATTATTTAATTGATTAAAGACAGAATTTTTTATATTTTAATATTAAATTTATAAATTATTAGAAACGTATTTAAACATTAAAACCTATTATTGCTAATAATTTACTTCATTTATATAATCTAATATTCTAAGTAAATATATGTAATATTTATATATTATATATTATATATAAATATAAATATAAATATAAATATAAATATATATAAATATAAATATAAATATAAATATAAATATAAATTTAATATTTTTTATATTTTTATTATATTAATTTTTAAATTTTTATTTATATTTTTTATTATTAGATACTTAGTTTATGCATTTAATTTATCATCTTAATCATCTTCTTATTAATGAGGAGCTTTTGGTAGTATTTTCCAATCAAGAATTTTTAATTCTTCATTTTTAAATAATAAAATATTTACATTTTCTTTCGTATTTACCTCATAAATTGTATAAAGTATATTTATTAGTCTATTAGTTACTTTAAATTTTTCGAAATAATCAAATATTTTTTTTTAATTTATATTTTTATCTAATTCAAGTAAGTTTTTTGTGAAAAATGAAAGGTTTTCTTTGTTATAATTTATAATTTCTTATTAAAAATATTTTAGGAAACTCAGAGCCATTTTTATCAAGATTTTCCAATCTTTTAAAATCAATAAATTGAAAATTTTCAAACAAAACTCGTAATTTAAATCTGAAAAGACTGTTAAAAACCATTTGGTAGCAAAATAACTAACTTTAATATTTTGTTATTGAAAATAAAGAAGTAGATCAGGTAAATAATTCAACATAAAAACTTCTAAAACAAAATTTAAAAATTTTAATTTCGGAAAATTCTCTATATATAGTTCTTTCCCTTTCATTTTTTTCATATAATATAATATAATCCAATATATATCATCTTCCCTTTACCCATATTATATAAATAAACCAACTATCATATTTATTCCTTAGACGTATCCAACATCTTTTACACTATGACTTATGGCTCTTAATATTTTTTTAAATATTCCTTCTTTTTGGAATTGTTATGCGAACTTTTTTCAGGAAAAGTGCGGTTTATATCTTATATTATATCGTTATCATATTATGAAGGAATAATTGAATAGTTCTGTTTATATTTTTTTTATTTTTTTATTTAATTAATATTTTACAAAGTATTATAGCTCATATTTTTATTTTATATAATTTATATTTATTATTTAATTCCAGTATATTTATTGGTCTTTTTTTGACAATCCCTATTTTTATCAATCATATTTTATTTAAATAGTATAAAAGAAATAAATTTTTTATTAATTTACTTTTAATAAAATAAAATAGATTTACTTTTTAATTGTATTTTGCTTTTTATGTGTACAAAAATATTTACAAATAAATTTTATTTAAAATTTTTATTCCAATTCTAAAAATTAAACTATTGTACTAAAGATTAAATTATTATCAAATACTTAATTTAATCTTTTTGTTATTAAATTAATATGTATATTTGTATATAAATATTACATTTAATGTGAAGGAGGTATAATATATTATTATTTATTATTTAGAATTTTTTAAAGATTTGATTTTAAATAATATTATTTATCAAATCCTAATATTTTATTATCTGATACATTAAAAAAAATTTTTTTTTTTCTCATTTTTAAATTTTAATATAATTTTTTATAAAAAAAAATTAAAATAAAAAAAAAAAATAGTTATTTAAAAATATTTAAAAAGAAGTAATAAAAATAAAAACAATAAAAAAAACGTATATAAAAATTGAAAATTAATAAAATATTATATATATATATGTAATATTATTATAAATATATATTTTAATTTAATTTAATTTAATTTAATTTAATTTAATTTAATTTAATTTAATTTAATTTAATTTAATTTTTAATATAATTAAATCATCATTTAAGCCATTTATTTATAATTCAAATTTCAAAGGTTTTAATATATTTTGTTTTATATTTATTAAAGTTTATGATTAGAATATTGGCGATAAATTTAATCTTAGATGTAACCTTAGCCTATTCTAAAATCATTTTTTTTTATATTATAAATAATCTTTTTAATATATTTAAATTTTAAATATAAATAGATTTCTTTTAATTTTTTTAAAAAATTATTTGTATTTTAAGTTATAGAATAAAGATTCATAATTATATAAATATAAATTTATATATTAACTATTTTTAATTTAATTTAAAGCATATATTTAGAATATTCAAAAAGTATAAAAATATAAATATATGTTTATGTTTTATTTTTATATCTTATTTATATGTTTTCTATTTACATTTTAAAAACTTAATTTTCTTCTAATTTTTGTATACTAAAGAATTGGTATTTTTATAAATTATTTTGAGATGTAATTTGAATTATTATAAATATAAAATATAAATAAATATAAATATAAATATAAATATATATATATATATATATATATATATATATATATATATATTTTTTATAGGTATATTTAATTTATTTTGTTTTACATATTTATAATTTTATTATATGCTAAATAAACAAATATTAATATTTTTTTAATTCGAATTTAATTTTATAAATAATTTAATTTAAATTAAATTCAATAATTTTTTATTTATTTTTAAAATTAATCTTATGAAAACTCATAAGTTCTTTTCTTTTAATTTCTTGTACAATTGATAGTTCTTGAAATTTAGTGTATATTAAAATCACATTCATTTTCAAATATTATATTATCTAAAGTATTATCTTAATTTATAATATTTTATTAGCTTTAAACAGTTTATTATTAACTTTTATTTATGTTAAAATCATCAATATCTAAAGTATTTGAACTTAAACTACTTATACTAGTATCATTGCTTATTGTATTTAAATTTTATTATTATAATTTATTTAGTTTTGATATAAATTTTTTTTTATCATATTAATATAACTCACTACATTATATATTTTCTAAGTTATTTGGCACATATTATAAATCTGGTTAAAAAAATAATTCTTTTATATGAATAATTACTTAATAAAGTCTAAATATTTTTTATTTTTATTTTTTATAATTTTTTTTTATTAATAATATTTTTTTATATTTATTTTATTTTGACTTATAAATATAATTGTATATTTTTACGTAATTGTAGGATCCCATGTTTTTTTATCAAATAATCTTGTACTTATAGTTTTATTTTTTAAATTAAAATTTGGATGATATATAAAATCTTGTGATTTTGCTTTTAATGGGTAATAAGGGTATTCTTTTTGTGCTATTAAATATATAGCTTTTTATAAGTTTAAATATATTCCTTATTTAATTTATAATTTTATTTCAATTTTTGTTTTTCTTTCTTAATATTATGGATGCTTTATTTATATTTCACATTTTTCATCATTTAAATTCATATTATATATTTAGTCTAGATCTTTTTTAATTCTTTATCTAGAAAAATTTATTTTTTCATTTATTTAATTGTCATTTTAGTTTTAAAAATTCTGAATATTTATAAATTAATTCATTTTTATATAATTTATGAAATGAGTTTATTTTTATAATTATATATTATTTATTTAATTTTTTTTTAAATAAATATATACAATTTTATTATTTAAAAGAAAAAAAATGTCTAAAAATAAGCATTTAAAATATTAAAAATAATTAAAAATTAAAATAAAAATTAATAACAAAAATTATTAAAAATAAATAACAAGTTATTTGAATTAATAAATAATAATAAATAACCAAAATAATTAAAATATGCATATAAAATTTTATTTTTTATTCCCAAAAAATAAAAATATAATTTAATTAAATATCATCACATAGCATGTTTTCTTGTCCATTCTTTTGAAGTTGTTTCATATTAATCTTTATTTAATTTATATTGTTATGCGATTTCTGGAACAAGAGGATCATCAGGGTTAGGATCAGTTAAAAGTGAACTTATACTTAATAAAACTAAAAAACAATAATTATTAATAAATATATACATTTATTAATTTTTTATTAAAGAAAAACCTTTAGATATAGTTAATGCTGGACTCCATTATTCTTTTAAAATATCTAAACAAATCGACCCATTTGAATTTATATTTGGATGATAAATTCTTGTTTAAAAACTTACCTATTAAATGTTAATATTTTTTATATTTAAAATTAATTTTTTTTAATTAAAACTCGAGGTGGTTTAAATGGATATTCTTATGGAAATAAAATATTTAATAAAAATACGCCTCCTGCAAATGGAGATTCTTCCTATTTATTTTTTTATTTATGTTTTTATAAATTTTTCATTAATGTTTTAAAATTTATTTATTTTTTATTCTTTTTACAGGACCCATAATAGCTGCTGTCCAATAAAACAAATTATCTTTAGATACATCTGGTCCTGCAGAAATATTTGCAGGAGGGTCTTTTTATAAATCAGCAAGTTCTTTTTATATTCTTTTTAATGCCATATATATTTATTTATTTATTTTATATATATATTTATTAAGTTATTTTTTTATATTTTATAAAATATAAAATAAATAGCTGAATAATTATTAATGTTTTTTTAATAATAACAAAAGTCTTTTTTAATCATTTTTTTTTAATTTAATACAAAAAATAAAACAAAAAATATTCATTTTACATTTAAATCATAACTTAAAAATAATTAATTAATTTCGTTTTCTAAATCTTTATTAATCAGAACAAATTATATATTATAATTTCCCTTTTATACAGGCGAAATATGTTATATATTAATTTCTTTTTCTTCTCCAACATTAAATCCCCCCTTAACGACAATTTCCATATCTTAATAATATCCTTAAATACACTAAAAAACTAAATCATTTAAATAAGAAACCTAACTATTGTTTTTGATAATAAAAGCTACTTAATATTCTTAATTAGGTTCTACTTAAATAGGTGCTAAAGGGAATTTTTTTAACACAAAATAATATTTGCTTTTTTTTATTTTGGTAATTACAGAATTACAATTGAATTTATTTAATAAAACTGTTGAATTTGTTAATTAATTACTATTTAAAATAAGTTTTAAGGGTGAAACTGAATTTTAAATTTCATTGTCTTTATTTTTTTTATATATATATAGTTATATATATATTCAGGTCTATTTATTTTTTTACTTTATAATCTTACCGATCTTGTTAAAGAACGTCTTTCTTCATAAGAAACATTTTTATGTTTAATAAATGGATGGTTGTGTGTTTTGCGGATTTATATATAACATATTTCACAAAAATCAATTCTATAACATACTAGGCATTCAAATCGGACTTTTGTTATGGTTTTTAGACAAAAATTACATATATAATTGCAAATTGTGAGGGTTTTAGCCTTTTACTAATAAGTGCTTTGTTAATTTTAGAGTTTTTGGATTTATTATTTAATTGAATCGTTATTATCTACTTGAAGTTTGGGGTATTTTTAGTTTAATTGTTAGGCTATTAAGTATGTGGATAATGAATCAAACTTTTCATGTAAAGAATTAAGCATTGGAGTGGATTTTATTATTAAAGGAGAATCGTTTAGAAATTAATCTATTGTAAACATTTATTAGTCGATGCTTTTTTTGATTAATTTTTTAGTGTATATTTTATTTTTTAAATTCTTTTCTTTTTTAATAGTTTTATTTTTCTTTTTAATAAAATTTATTTGTAAATTCAATACTTTTAATATTTTACTTTGTTAAAAATTAATATTCTGTGTTCATTGTAAAAGGTCTTCCCAAAAAATTAAATTTCCGGCCTTTTTTATGGGAGAGGTTTTATTATTAAATTTTTATTTCAAGAAGATTATATTTCTGAGAGGAAGCTTCTATTTTTTTTAAAAAAAAAATTAAAAAAATTGCAGGCTTATATTTTAAGTTTTTAAGTCCTCTACTATATTATTAGTTTAAATTTTTATTTTGTTTTGTAATTTTTTTGTTAAAAATACAATCATTAAAATGTAAAACCAGAAAAAAATGAATTATAGACTTTTTATTTTTTTATTGACTTTTTTTTAAAAAAATAGAGAGCAAATAAAAAAAAAATTAAACGGAACGAATTACTGCATATGCATATTTTTTAAAAATAAATAAATTATCCTAATTAAAATTCAATAATAATAATAGAGTAAAATAAATAGCTTATTTGAAAAAAAATCTTAAATTTTTATTTGAAACATATTCTTAAATTAATAAAAAGATTAAAATAAAATATAAATTTCTTAAAATAATTATTAAAAATAAATAAAAAATTTTTTAGAAATATAAAAATATAATTTCATAATATTTTCAACTAAATAAACTGTTAAATACTAAATGAATTATCCAAAAAAAAGATAATGAAGATTATTTATTTGCACTTTACCCGTATTAAATAAAGTAAAAGATGAAAAATATAAATAAAAATACCGAAACAGATGCAACAAAAGTTCTTCCTCAACCAATTAAAACCCTTAAATTCTGTAAAAAATTATAATAAAAATAAAGAAAATAAAATATAAATAAATGGAAAACCTCTTATAATAGTAAAATATATTTATGTTGATAACAAGTAAATTAACCCAAAGTAAACGTCTTATTTATTATAAAATTAATTGACTAAAGTAATAAGTAATCAAATCAACCGATAATATTCAATAGTACTAGTTTATTTAATATTTTATAAGATCAAAAAAGTAAATTATTAATTAAAACATAAAAAAATGAATTTAAATTAATTAATTTTTGATCATACTTATAATTTAGAATAAAATTTTATAAAAAAATAATAAATATAGAAGAAAATTACTATTTATTGATAAAAATATTTAAAAAATTATTAATAAAAGAAATTGAATATTTATAAATATAAGCATTTTAAATATAATTATTGTATATAGAAAATTTAAACTTTAATATTTATTATAATTTAATTTCTATATGTTTAATTATGTTTCTTTTATACTAATATTCTTTTAATAATTTTTTAAATTAAAAAGAAAATGTATTAATAAAAATTATTTAATTAATTATGAATCATTAGAATATTTATATGAAAAAATTCGTTGATTATTATGATGAAAATAAATATTTTACTAAATAAGGTGCTTATGTTATAGATATAACAACATGGATAACGTTTGGTACTTTTTGTCTTAAATTAGAGAGAAAAATCACAAAAAAGTGATTTTGGTGGCTTATTTAGTAGTTTTTTTTTAAAGAAGTGTTTATAAATAAGAATAAAATATAATAATTAAAATTTTAATTACATAAGAATATTTTAAAAAAATAATCCTTTGAAAAAAATTCTAAAATTTTAAATTAAATGCCATATTATGGTTGTTTATTACGTTAATTGGCAGAAATAATACTAAATATTTCGAAGAAAAATACATATGACTACAAAATTCGAATAAATTAATTAAGGATAATATATAATATATATAAAGTAATTGTTTTATTATAATTTTAAATCAATTATAAGTTATTTAGAATAAAAAAGTAAATTATAAAAATTACTTTAAAGTGAATTTTATCATTTATTAGGATTTAATAAAAAATGTAATAATAGAAATAATGATTTTAAAAATAAATATATATATATAAATATATTTATTTTATATATATATATATATATTTATATATATATCTTTTTAAAGTTTTTTTTTTAAGATTTTTTTTTAATTAATAATTTATGAAATAATAAAATAATAATAAATAATAAATGAGAAAGTAAATTATTATATAAAAAATAAAATATAAAATATTTTTCATTAATTATATAATATTTATTTAATTTTATAGTTAAAAATAATAAAAGAATTAAAATAAATTATATAATGTATTTAATTGAAAAGATCAATTGTATATAAAATAAAAAAAATATTATATTTATATTAAAATAAAATTTAAAAATAAAATTAAAAGTTTTAAATATTTTTAAGTAAAACTAAAAAGTAAATTAATTTTTAAAAAAAATGTTAATAAAAATAAAAAAACATAAATAAAATATTAAATAAAATTAAAAAAAATAATTTATAAATAAAATGAAAAAAATAAAAATTATAAAAGAACAAAAAAAAATAAAAAATTAAGTGTTAAAAAATTATATATTTATATATATAAATATTTATAATTAAATATATAAAACAATTTATAAATTATTATTTTTATATTTATATATAACCATTTAAATGTATCAATTGATAAATAAATAAATTTAAAAATTATTTATTATATATTTAAATTTTAAAATATATATAGTATATGTATATATATTTATTTATATATAATTTACTTATATTATAAGTATTATATAATATATTTTATTTATTAATTTAATATTAATAAATCATGTATAACATAATAAATTAAAAATAAAAATTAATATTTTTATTCAAATATTATAAGTTTTCTTTATAAACTATTTTTTTTTAATATATATTATATAATTTTTTTTTTATAACAATTAATAATAATATTATACAATTTGAACTATATAAATTTTTAATCTCATGTCATAAGAAATTTTAAATTAATAAGTTTTATAAATCTAAGATATAGAGTAATATCTAACTGACCCTAATATAGTTTCTAAAATAGATAATGATTATAATGAATTATTAAATGATTTAAATTATAATCCAGAATTATCAGATTTTAAATTATAATATGAATCTTTGTATAACGCTTTAAAATAATCATTAAATACAGAATAAGGATCAATAAGAAGAATAAAAGATAATAATTATGAACTTATATTAAATTAGTCTAAAATAGATGGTATTGTAAAAACTATATAATCTAGTGAAGAAAATCTTGAATAGGCATAAAAGGAATTAGATGAAAAAAAAAAAATATTGAATAATATAAAATGTAGAAAATATAAATTCAATAAAAAATAGAATAAGCATAAATAGAATTAACTAATGTAAAAAATTATAAAAAATATAAATATAAATATAAATATAAATATAAATATAAATATAAATATAAATATAAATATATATATATATATATATATATATTTTTATTAATATATTTTTAAAGCTTAATAAAAAAACTGATTAAAGACTTGAAGAAGTAGAATTAAACAATGAAGTTATTTTATAAAATTTATAAAAATAAAAATAAGAATTACAAAAAAGTAATTTTTTTTAATAAATTTTTTATTTAATTTTAGATTAGTTAGTGAATAATTATCAAATAAAATTAAATTCATTCGAAATGAAAATGAACATTATTAAAATGAACTTTAATCAGATGAATTAAGAAATGGCGAATATTAATAATAATTAATAGATTTAAATTAATAAATATTAGATATTAAGGACTAAACGTTAAAATAAGAACAAAAAAAGGCTAGTTTATATAAAGAAATGGAAGAAATTCGATAAAGTATAGATTTATCAAAAGAAGAATTATCTAAAAAATAAGATATTATCAAAGATAATAAAAAACAATATGAATAAATATCAAAATTAATAACTAAATAAAGATTTTAGAAGAACGAAAATACTGATACCATAAAGAATCTTAAAATTTAAAAACCTTAATGCGAGAAAGAATTAGAGAGTTAAAAATAGTAATTAGAATTGATAAATGGAAATATATAAAAATAACAATAGGATAAACTGTAATATTCAGAATAAATTTAAATGAAATAGAAATAAGTGAAAGAATTTAAAAAAGAATATGACATTTTAAGTAAGAAAAAGAATTAAATTATTATGGAAAAGGAAATTCTGGAAAAGAAAAAAGATGAAATGTTCGAACTGGAAAAAATCGAAGGTGAAAGCCTAGAAATTTTTAAGAAAAAATACGAAGAAATCAAAGATGAAATCCAGCTTAAAAATAAAGAAAGACAAATTAATAATTATCAATTAAAAAAAGCTGAAAACGAACAACATGATGTGGATGAGAGTATTATTTATTAATTAAATAAACTTAAAAAAATTGAAAATTAAATCCTTGGGTACGAATCTGAAAATGAAAAATTAAGAAAAATTGTCACATAATTACAAAAAGAATAGGAAAAATATGGTATAGAAGCATCTTAGGCTCATGCAAAATATTATTAAACTTGCGAAGAGGTTAAAATTAAAATTAATTAAATTGCGGAATAAAAGTAGAAAAATTAAGCAATTTTGTCAAAGTTGAAACATTAGTAACATTTATATGAAGCAGTTAGGTCTGATAGGAATTTATATTCTAAGAATTTATTGGATTGTATGAAGGAATTGGATGAATTGGAAGAAAAAAAGAAAAGAAATAAATAATAGGTTGATTAATATAAAGAAGAAATTAGATAAAAAGATAATGAATTAATCAATTTGGACTTTGACTATAATAAAATTATTGAAGAGAATAAAAAAACAGAAATGGAAAAAGAAAGAGTATAAAAAGCTATTAATTCGACTGAAGAAGTCATTAAAAGTCAAGAAGAACATATTTCTAAACTTAAATTTTAGATTTAAGATTTAAAAGTGAAGAAATAAAAACATTAAAAAGATCTAGAAATGGTTTTGGGAGAAAGAGATATTTTAGGAACTTAATTAATAAAAAGAAATTAAGAATTAAATATATTAGAAGAAAAAATAAAACTTTTATAGAGTAATCTTTGTAAAGGAGAAATTTATTATAAAGAAAAATAAGATGAACTTTCAGATTTAAAGAATACACTTTCTTCACTTATAAATGAACTAAAGGCAACTGAGGAATAAATTTTGTGTATTCCAGATTTTAAGAATGAAATAAATTCTTTGTAGAAAGATATATTAGCAGAGCAAACAAAAATAAAAGCTCTATAAGATGAATTAGATAATCCTTTAAATGTACATAGATGGAGAAAATTGGAAGTAACAAATTATGAAAGTTATGAAAAGATTCTATAAATTTAGAGTTTATAAAGAAAACTTATAGCAAAAACCGAAGAAGTAGAATAAAAGGAAAAAATTATAAAAGAAAAAGAAAAATTATTCATAGAATTAAAGAATATACTAGCCAGATAGCCTGGGCAAGAAATACATTAATAATTAGTATAATATAAAAAAAGTCTTAAAGAAAAAGTAGGGTAGATGAAAAAAATGCTAGGAGAATTAAAAGATGCAAAAGAATAAGTATTTTCTTTAATATTAATTATTATTTGTATTTTATATTATATAATAATAAATAGAGTGATATATTAAAATATGAAAATAAAAGACTAAATGAATAGTTATAAGATATAAAAAAAAAATATATTAAAAGAAGAAAAGAAGAAGATAAAGACGAATTTTTAGCATTAAAAAATTAAGAAAATATTATTGATAATAATAATAAATTCAATAATAATATTATATTTAACAGTTAAGAATAGAAATAAGCTTGAAAAAAATAAGTATATAAGAGATATAAAATATATCAAAAATATATATAAATAAATAATTAAATATATTAAATTAATAAATTAAATAAAATATAATAATAATTTTAATAATTATTTATATGATAAAAAATATATAAAACATATATATTAGAAAAATATATATAAATATATAAATATATATATTATATTTATATTTATATTTATATTTATATTTATATTTATAATAATATTATTTTTATTATTATTATTATTTTTATTATTATTATTTTTATTATTATTATTATTATTATTATTAATATTATTATTATTATTATTAAAATTATTATTATCATTATTCTTATTATTCTTTTAATTTTTATTATTTTCATTATTATTTTTATTATTATTTTAATAAATATTTATATTTTTTTATATATATATTATTATTTTTATTTATTTTATTTCTATATTATTTATAAATCTTAATAAATATTTAATTTTTTAATATTTATATTTTTTTTAAATTATAATTTTAAAAAATTAGATTTTAAATAATAAATATATCATATCTAATTCAATATATATTTAATATATATTTTTATTATATATATATATATCATATATTTTTTAAAAAATAATCATTAATATTTTATTAATTTGTTTATATTTCTTAATTGATATAATCTTCAAATTATATATTATTTTTATCAATTTAATTTTCTAATTTTTAGAATTTATTTTTTGAAAAAACTTTGAATTATTCTAATTCCTATTTTATTTCTTAATTATATTAAGTTATTTTTTTTTGATAATTAATAAATTCTAAGTCTTCTTAAAAATTAATTATTATTTCTTAGTTTTCTTACTATTTTTATGAGCTTAATTTTATCAATTTTTCTTTTTATGTTTCTTTTTCTTTTTAATCTGTCATTTTCCATTTTTTTATTACTAACTTAAAGATTTCTTTATGATTTTTTCCCTAATTTTAAATTTTTTCTTTTTAAAAATTCTCCTTTAAAAATAGACTATAAAAAGACTGGAAAAAACCGTATTTTTATTTTAGTTTTTCGTATAATTACATCATTTCTAAATATTTTTTTTAGTCTTTTTAATAAGAAAGCTCATATATTTATCTTTCGGATTCTGTTTAAATTTGTTTTTCTATTTTTTATTAGTTTTTTTTTATTAATTTTTAGTCTGTGTACATTTATATTCTATATCTCATGTATGAATTTATCACTTTTTTTGGCTTTTTTATTAATTATTTTAGCTTTTTAAGTGCGTTTTGAAGTTTAAATTAATTTATGTCTTTACTTATTTTTTCTTAATCAAATTTTATTAATGGTTTTTCGGTCATTTTTATTTTGTTTATATTTTTTAAATAATAATTATCATTTTCATATTTTTAAAAATAATTTATTATGTATATATAAATTAGTTTAATATAAGCTTTTTGAACAAAATATTCAAATATAATTTTTTTTAATAATTAAAAAAATCTACCTAAATTAATAATATATATTTAGCCAATTAACATATAAAAAAATATTTTTTTTTTAAATATAAAATTATATTTTTTTTTTCTTTTTGTTCAATCTATAATCTAAATAGATTTCTTAAAAATATCAAATTTAATTAAATTTTGAGGTATTTAAGGTATTTAATTTGCTTATAACCATTTTGCTGAACCATCATAAAAATAAGCATAAAATTTAGATATTTTACCTTCTCTATAGCCGCTAAAATATTAAACTAATTAAGATTTATCGTTTTCTTATTAATTATTTATTTCCTAATTTACTTTATTATTAATTTCTTAATTTTCTTTATTATTATTCTTTTGCTAGTTTTATTCAGTTTTCTATTTATTATTTGATTTTTTTTCATCTTTTTTTTTAATTTATATTTCATCTTTTTCTTTAATTTATTTTTTATCTTTATATTATATTACTTTATCTTTATATTTTTAGGCTTTTTAAATAATTTCTTTTTCTTTGTTTTCTTGTTAGTCTTTTTCATAGATTTTATCACCTTTATTTTTTTAGGTTTTTCTTTCTTGTTTTTTTTCATTTTTTAGTTTGATAATCTAATCTTTTTTTATGTAATCAAATTCTTCATTTTTTATATAAATTTATTTATTTAAGTCTTTTTCTAAAGCCTTAACTATTTTCTTCTCACATTAAAATTAATTTTCGAAATTTTCATTTTCTTTTTGTATTTTTTTTTTGTTATTTTTAAATTTTTAAATTTCGTTGTATAATTCATTTTTGTAGCTTCTTAAATTATTTTAATATTTTCTCAATAAATAATTAAGGTCATAACTTTAATAATTTTCTTAATTTTTTATTACAAAAGGCATATTCTCCTTAATTTTTTTCCATTTTTATTTTAAAATTTAAATCACTTCATTACCTGTTAGTAAAGGATTTTCCTTTTAAATTTTAATGTAATTTTCCTAATAAATTATAGAAAAAATGTTAATTTTATCCTTAAATTTTATTTTATAAATTTTGTTATATTCTTCCTTAATTTTAATGTAATTTTCAAAATCATTTAGATATGATTGTATGTATTTTTATTATTTCTTTTGAGTTAAATTATTCCAAATTTCCTATATATTCTCAACTTTTTTTTTTTATTATTCTTTTGAAAAATTTTCAAGCTTAAATCTTTCTAGAGGCCTTATAGGAAATCTTGGTTTTTCAAAAAGAAAGTCTTAGTTGCCTTAATTTTTTTCTTACTCTTCTATAATATTTTGAATTTCATCTGATTTTTTTCTAAAAAATTAATATTATTGTATATTTGTTTTTTTTTCATTTATATTATTATCTTTTTCTTCATTATTTTTATTTTATTTATTATTACTTAAATTTATGTTTTCATTATATTTTTTTTTTTATTCATTTAATATTTGTTTTTTGGTTTTTTCAAGATTTTATCTTTTTATTTATTTAATATTTTATATTTTTTTATTTAGTTCCATTTCATATTCTTCAAAATCTACATAATCTTCTTATTTTTATATAGAATTTTAACTAGATAAAAAAAATGAATTTCTTAATTTTCCATTAATACTTTTTAATTTTTAAAATATATCTTTTTATTAATTAAAAATTTATTCAAAATTATCTTCTTCTTCTAAATTTTCCATAATTATGTTTATTAGTTATATTTTTTTATTTAGAGGGTATATTTTAAATATTTAATTTTTTTTTATAAAAAAATATTATAAATATAATATAATATAATGTAAATTTAAATTATATTTAAAATATATATTAATTTATTTAAATAAATTAATTTAATTTAATAAAAAAATAAAAATAAGCAAAATTTAGAAAAAAAAAACTGATAAATTAAATGATATAATTATGAAATTTTAAATACAAATAAAATAAAAAAAAGAAAAAATAAAAAAAAAATTAAATTAAAATAAATATATATATATTTAAATATTATTTTATTTTTATTATTTATTAAAGTAATTTATATTATATTTTTTAAATATATATATATTAATATATAAATATTTTTAAATTAATTAAATATATTTTTTTTAAAAAAAAAAAAAAAATTTATAATAATTTTTTTATTGAATTATTTTCAATATATTAAATATTTTTTAATTTTTTATTCATAATAAATATTATATAATTTTAATATATCATATATAAATTTAATAAAATATATTAAATTATTTTAATATTTTAATTTTTTTTATTTTGTTTTTAGTTTTCTTTTTTCTTATATAGACATACTTAATATTTTGTAAATGTTTTATAAAATAAAATTTTAAAATACAATATATTTTTTAGATTTAATTATAAATAATATTTTAATTTTATATATTTATAATTTTTCAATAAAATTAATTAATATTTTCATTATAATTTTTTGAACTTAATTAACTTGTATTTTTATTTACTTTCTCATAAGCAATTCTATCTTAAAGTATATTAATAACATCAATTAATTTTATATAATCTCTATTATTTTATTCTTATAACTTTTCTAAATCTTTTATCATATTATTGCCTACTGTAACTAGACTTTTTATATTAAGATTATCATTTATATTAGGAATATTTTTATATTAATTATCGATAAAAGAGCTTGCTTATAGATATTAATTATAGTTTATTTTAGATGAGTTACTTGTTTAGATAATTATTTATTATTTCTTTTATTTATTAAATGATTACATTTTTCTAATACAACACTTACAATTTTTGATAGAGCATTTATATTAAGATAATTTTTCGCTTTATAAAAATTATTTATCTAAATTTTAATTATAAACATTATATAGATTAGAAAATTATTTCTATAGTCTTTTCTATTATTATTCTTAAAATTATTTACTTTAATCATTCATAAATAAATGTTTTATAAGATAAATCTCCTCTTTTCTGGTTAACAATTTAGGCTTTTTATCATCTAAAAAATATCCTTTTTATTTCTTAATATTAACTAATTTATTTAATATAAGTTTATCTTTAATTAAATTACAATTACCTAAAAACTGCATGTATACAAATAAATAAAAATAATATATATATATATATATTAATATATTATATATTTATATATTTATATATTTATATATTTTTTATATTATAATATACTTTATTTCTATTTTTATCACTCCATAAGTCTATTATGTTCATAGTTCCTTTTTCTTCTTCTTAAGCTAGATTATTTATTAGTTTTTATATATATTTATTTTCATTTTTCTCTTATGATTTAAATGCAAATTTCGAAAAAGTTTTTCTTCTATTTTTTAGTTCTTTAACAATGTTCTAATATTGCATTTCGCGTTATTTTTATAAAATTTTTTAATATTCTTTTTTATCTGTTTTTGGTCTCTGCATTTCTACTATTTTTAAATTAGGAAAGAAGTTTTTTATTATTTGTTCCGATGTTATTTATTAATTTTCTATTTTTTATGACACGAAATTACATTTTTCTTGTTGTCTATTGAAAGTATTTGGTATTTATATTTTTTATATATTTTTTATATTTATTTTATCTGAAATTAATTAAGGCTTATCGAGAAGAGATTAATTTGTTATTTAAGTTGTTTTTATTACCCTTGATTATTATTCGTCTTTTTTATTAATTAAGGTGCCGAATGTTGCAATTTAATTAATAAATTAAGCTTTGCGTGCCCAAAATTTTTCTTTTCGTTATATATTTTTACCTTCAAAAAGTTAGTTTACATTTTATTCTATTAAACTTAATTATCTTTTATTTATTTCGTTTTTAGAATTTATATTTTATGAGATTTTTATTTAGTCATTTTCAAAATTTTCTATGATTAATTTGTTAACATATTATTAATAGGTTTTAATATTAGTTAACGCTTTAGTTTAAGATTTTATCAAAAATTATTTTTAGTAAATATTTTTTTTCATTAATTATATAAATAAATATAAATAATTTAATATAAATATAAAATATATATATATATATATATATATTTATATATATTTATTATTCAATAATTTTTAATAATTTTATTATGAAATTTAAGCAAAACTTTTTTGAAATTTTATTTCTTTTATTTTATTTTATTTTCTATCTCTATTTTGATGTCTATTTTTTTAGAAAAATCTACATATATATATTTCAGTGAATTATTTTTTTATAAAAAATCTATTAATTCTTGTAAATTATTTTCTGAAAAAAAACTATTATTCATGAAATCTAAATATAAAAATTCTAAAAATTACATATTTTTTAATTAATAAAAAATTGAAGAAAATTCATTTTCTTAAAAATTGTTATTCCATTGAAAATTAATGTAAATACATTTCATGTTTTACATATTTTCTAAATTATCAAAAAACTCTTTAAGTCCGTTTTTTTAGAAAAGTTCATTATTTTGGAAATTTAAGTGTATTTTTTATAAATTATACATTTTCTTTATATTCTCATTTATAAAATTTAAGCTTTTTTAGGTCAGCTTATTATTTTCTGAAAAATTTAAATAAATTTCTTATAAATTATTACTTTTTCCCATACTTTTATCTATAAAGTCTATAAAAAAAGCTTCGGAAAAACTATTATTTTGGCCAAAATCAAGTTTTAAATGTCTTAAAATAGTAGTTTAGGACAAAATTCTAGTTATTTAAGCCAAATGGAGATCATTTAGTTCTTATTTTTATTAAAAATCTAAACAAAAATAGTCTATTTATTTTGCTATTTATATTTTTTTTAAGTATTTTATATTTATTTAATCATTTTAGTGAAATACTAGAGAAAAATTAGATAAATTTGTGTTTTTTTTAAATGAAAAAAGAAGATTTTTTAATGAAAAAAAAGGGTTTTTTGCAAAATTTAAATGCACTTTTTGAAGTGGTTTTGACCAGATTTTTTTCGAGAAAAATTTTATGTTTTTTTCAGTAAAAAAAGCCTAATTATTAGCAAAATTTAAAGTCAGTTTTTTCAGTTTTTTTAAACTGAAAATTTCAGTGAAAATTTAAGTTAAACTTTCTGAAGAAAATTAGGTATTTCCAAGATAAATTAGGCTATTTTAGGGATATATATATGTACTTTTACCATATACTAGGGTTAGTTTTGTGAGTTTTTTAAGGTTTTTTAAGGATTGAGCTTATTATTATAAAAATGAAGAAGATAAATTATCATTTAAGGGCATTTTAAATACAAAAGTAGTTATATTTTGTTATGTTTTAGCTATATATGTTAGGAGAGGTATAAGATTTTAGTCTTAGAGATGCTTTTCGTTCATAAGGCCTATTTTTAGAGAGTTTAGGTGCTTAAATTATTATATAATTTAGAAAAAATATGAGATTTAGGCTGTTATTTATTTGGAAATTTGTGTTTTTCCATAGAAAATAATTTCGAGTTTTTTTAGATTTTTGTGATTATAATTTAATAATAAATTATTGATTTTTTGGAGGTTTTTTTGAGAAATTCCGTTTTAAGTTTTGTAAAAAAAGGAATGCGAATTTTTTGATTTTTTTTAATAAAAATAAAAGAAAAAAGCCAAAGAGACTAAAAAAATCATTAAAAAAATAAAGAACATTTTTTTGGTAAAAAAAGTCGTTTTTTTTTCTTCATTTATAGACTTAAAAAAAACACTGTTTTAATAGCTATTTTGGATCATTTTATCCTCAGATTCCTCTATAAGCGATTTTTAGTTATTTTTTTATATAGAATATTCCAATAGGGACTGCTTTTCAGGTAAAAAATACACTTTAGTGCTTTTATTGAATTTCTTTTACTCTAATATTGTTAAATCTATTAAAAAATCGATTGCTTTTCCTCTTTATTATGGTTCCAAATTTAACATTTGGCGAGCTTTCTAAACTAGGATTTTCTCGGAGCTTTCGAACGCTTTTTCGGGGAAACTTAGAGGATCTATAGTGCTGTTTTAGTTGAAAAAAAAGGGGTTTAATATCTCTAAAATTACAAATCCTAACATATATATGTCTGTTTAGGCTGAATAAATATTATTTTTGGAAGATAGGAGCTCAGGAGGTAGATTTTAAGGAGTTTTTTTGGGTTTAAGAGGTGATGAAAAGTTAAAAAGTTTAATATTTTAGAAGTTTATGAGGAAATTTTGGGTATTAATGTCACAATGAGTGATATTTTGGGAATGTATAGTGGCCAAAATATCTAGAATTTAAATAATGAATGAATATTGGGTATTTAAAGGTATTATATTTGATTTTAAGTAAGAATTAAGTGAAATTCCAAAGAATTCTTATTTTAATAAAGAAAGTCTATTTATATTATTTTATTTAATATAGTCTATTTAATATATATTAATTAATCTAGGATGCTTTATTTATTTAATTATTTAAATATATTTTTCCTATTTATATTACTCTTCTTCGGATTGATTTAGGACGTTTAAAATTTTCAGTATTAAGGTTTATTAGGTATTTTTTTATTAACATTTTAAAATTATTGATGTATTTAGGGAATATATTAGCTCAATCTAAACATATTCTTGTTGTTTTTGGGTTTTTAAATATTCTTTTAAAAGAATAAACTAAGAAATAGGAAAATTTTATTGGTTTTATAATTAAGAATAGTCAAATTGTTTTTTATAAAGTAACATTTTATTATTAATTATAATAACTATTTTAAGTTTATTTATAGTATATTGATTAGTATTTATTTAAATATATAAATATATATTAATTGAATTTTAAATAATAATATTTATAACGAATATTAATAATTATATTGAAAAAATATTTAAATATTTGCATAATTCTTTATTAAAACTTTTTATATATTGTAAATGTAAATTATAATATATAAATTAATAATATATATATAAATATATATATATATATAATTAAATATATTATCATATGTTTTTAAACGAATTTTTTTAATTTTAAATTCCATTAAATTAAAATGAAGATTTTTTTTTATTTTTTTTTAACATATTTTTCTCTTCTGAAACAGCAATTTATATTCCAAATGTTTCCATATTATTATTAGTTGTTGTCTAATGAAAATTTTTATTACCTTTTCCTTCATCATTATTTTAGGCTAAATTTTAAATTGAACTTTTCTTACTTAATTTAACTTCATCTCTTAATTCAGAATTTTTCGCTTAATTTTATAACATTTTATCTTTTTGAATTTAAATTTCATTTAAAATAAGCGGTGGTTAATCTTTATCTTCTATATATAGAAGTACATCTTTTTCAGTAATTCCTGATTTATTTTCATCCTTTTTTATTAAATTAAAAGCCTTTACTAATAAATCAATTACATTTTTATCATCAGAGTTTTTTTTAAATAGTTCCTATTTATTTACTCTAATGTATTCATATTCATATTCATATTTTATATATATATATATATATATATATATATATATATATATATATATATATATGTATATATATATATTATTTAATACTTCTTTAATATGTATCTTAAACAAGTCATATTTATTCTCATAGCAGCAAAATGCAAACAAGTATTTCCTTTAGAATCTCTTGCTAAAAGTTATAGTTTTGTGTTTTTTAATAAATATCGAATAATTTTGATTTCTCCGTAAAAAGCAGCTCTATGTAAAGCTGTTTGTCCATATATATTTTTTGCATATGGTTAACATTTAGTTTCTTTTAATAAATAATGCACAATATCTAGTTTACCGTTTGCACATGCAGCAATAAAAGGAGTAGAACCTGTATTTTCTCTACATGTTACTGAACAATTGTATTTTTCAACTAATAATTTTACCATATCTAGTCCACAATATAATATTGATAACATTAAAGCTGTATCTCCTTGAAAATTTTAATCTTCTTTATTTATATGTTAACTGTTTTATAATATATAATCAGCTATTTCATATTAATTATGCTTTATGGATGTATGGAGAGGTGTATCACCAGATTCTAGATATTAATTTAGACATATTTAGCGATTTTCGTAGAGTTATTTGACTTGGTTAATGTCTCCTTTTTCTATAGCTTTTATAAATAGTTAAAAATCTTGGGGAAAGCAGTAATCTTTACATTTTAAAAAGAATTTTTTCATATTAAATTTTTGTTTAGTTTCGGTTTAACTTTTTATAAAAAAAATATATTAATTTGATATTATATTATATAATTTGTATTTTTGTTTCTTTCTTTTTTTTCAATATTATATAATTAAGTATATATGTAAAATTTTATTTTTTTGTTTATATAAAGAAAGAAAATAAATAATAATATTAATTGGCGCTAAAAAAAATTATAATTAATTAAATATATAAATAAATATAATAATAAGTAAAAAAAAAAAAAAAATCAAAAAAACAAAAAACTAAAACAAAAAATAAAAAAAAAAATGAGTATTTAAGGAGGATTTACCCCTAATAAATAAGGATAAGTAAGAAAAAAATTAAATTAAAATTATATTATATAAATAGTAAGAAAGAACAGGATAAGTGATAATTCCTTTAAATTGTCATTTAGTCAATAAAATTATATCAGAATAATAAACAAATCAAAATCAAAGTTATGAAATTGACGGTTTTCCTTTTGAAGTTGCAGTAATAGCAGGAATTTATTAAATAAAAAATGAAAATTCAATTAATAAAATAGAAGGGTATTTAAAAGATAGTACAGGCTATATAAATGTAATTTGTGATAAAATTAAAGATTAAGAGGATCCGATATTTATATAAAAATATAAAGAGTAACTATATATATATAAACATAGTATAAATATAGTATATATAAAATATAAAATAAATAAATAAAAATATTAGTACATAAAAATATATATGTATATATGAATATATGTATATTTTATATGAATATATAATATATATATGATATAGAAATATTTAAATATTATATTTTAAATAAAAAATAAATTATAAATATAAAAAATTTATATATTTTTATTAATACTTTAAAACTTTTTTTTTTTTATGTTTTAAAAATTAATTAGGTCTTTAAAATCTAATTTATATGTTAGAGCTATTATAAAAGTTAGAAAAAATTCTAAAGTAATATATTTGTTAAATTTTTCTGAAATTTAAGATTTTAATGAAGTCTCTAGGCATAATTTGGAAATAATAGTTAGAAGTTTAGAAAAAAAACATGGACCTCTTCAAGATATTACAACTGATGATTAAAAAAACTAAACTTAAAAATCTGTGGCAAAAAATAATCAAAATTTATAAAAAGTATAATTAATTATTATTATATATAATAAAAAGTATATATTTAAATATTATAATAAATATATACATACATATATATATATATTAAAATATAAATATAAATATATATAATTATATATATATATATATATATAAATAATAATAAATTATATATATATATATATATTTTATTAATATAAATGTAAATTTTTTAATTATATTCAATTATAAATTTAATTTACCATATAATAATTTTTTTTATTTTTTATATGAATAACATTAATTTTATTTAATATTAGAAAATTAAATGAAAAATTATATATATATATATATATATATATATATATATATAAATGAATATATTTAAATTATTATATACTTTATAAAATATTAAATAGATTTAATCTAATAAGAAAATAAAAAAATCTATTTATATATTTATTATATTTTATATTTAATTTTATAAATATTTTAATATATAAATAATATTAATTTTAATAATATATTATATATAAACTATGTTTATTATTTATATTATTTTAAAATATATAAAACAATATTTTTTTAGTTTATTATATATTTTATAATTAAAAATTTTACATACATTTTTTTTTTCTTTTTATAATATATAAATTTCAATATATATTTAAAGAGCTAAATTCATATTAACGAAAAAGATTAACCAATAGAATAAGTATAATATTATTATATTTTTATTTATTGTATTACATTTTAAAATAGGTAAAATCATATTTTGCTTAATTTTCTTAATATAATCCAAACGTTTAAATTTAAAAAAATGAAATTGTAACTTTTTTTTAGAAAAATTTAAACATGAATCCATCTAATACTATGTAATTTTACATTTAATATTTTAATTAATATATATATATATATTATATTTATATTATAAATTTATTATTATAAATATATAAATATTTATATATATTTTTATATATATATATATAATTTAATATAAATTTTATATATACTTTAATATTTATTTTTATTTTAATTTAGGAAATTAATTAGTTAATTAATTGCTTAAGGCATTATTTTTGATTTTTAAGGAAACGATAGTTATTTTTATAATGGATGTTGAATTTTTGATTTTTCTTAGAATATAATTATTAAAAGATTTATTTCCATTTAAAATAAATTATAGATAATAAAAAAATATATCTTAATAAATATTTATTATATATTAATATATATATATATATAAGTTTAAATAGTTTTAATACTTATTTTTTTATAGATTTTTAATTTTTTTTTCTCATTTTTATAAAAAAAAAATCTAAAAGTATTTATAATCCAAAAATATATTATTTTATTTTATAAAAAATAATAATATAATTTAACTTATTATTATATAAATAAATATACAAAAATATATATATAATTATATATAAAATATTAAAAGAAATATAAATCTATTACTTTCGTATAAAATATATATATATATTTTTTTTTTAATGTAATCCTAAATAAATCACCCTAAATTAATTATCTAAAATACTATTACATCTCCTCCGAATTAATTAATTGAAGTTTTTCCTTAAGATCCTTAAGGTGATATAGAAATATAAATAGAAGACTATATATATAAATTATAGAGAATATATATAATAAATATATCGGATTTTTTTAAGAAAATCTTTAATAAATAGACTAAAATTAAAAAAATATCTTTAAATGAGTCTAATAAGTATTTTTTTGATTAAATTTTACATTTTTCTTATGGAAAAACACTAGAAATATAATTGGAAAACCTTAAAGAATATATATATATTGCCAATTTTTTAGAAATGAAAAATTTATTTTTTTTAATTGAAGAATGTTTACTTTAAATAGTCGATAAAATGAATTTTACGGAATTTTTTTTTTCGAAATACTAGAGATGGCTCATATAAATAATATGTAGACTGTTTTTTTAAAGTAAATAGAAAAAATATCCTCGAATATTTATTTTTAGAACAGTTTAATATATAAAATGCCTTTCTAATAGCTTAACGAGGAGTCATTTAAGAAAACGATAATAGGAATTTATTAATAATTGATATTTTTGGAGGATGAGGGCAGTTTAAAGGAATTAATTATGGAAATATTGAATTTCTTTAATGAAAAAAAGGATTTAAAGATGAACGAAATTCGTTTTTTTTTAGAAAAAGAAGTAAGAAATATAAAAAGAATAGGTAAAATGTAAGAAAATAAAGAACTTATTAAAACAAACGAAGAATAATTGAAAAAAATAAGTATTTTAGAAGGTGATATATAATCTCTAAAAGGTACAATTAAAAAAATGACTGAAAAACAGACTAAAAGGATGTAAAGTTAAGAAAAGAACATATAATAGAATATTAATACTATAGGAAATATATAAAGCCCATAGATAATTTCATAATAGAATACTTAAATATAATAGAACTGCTAAATATAATAGTAATAGTATAATATATAGAATTAATAATAGTATAATATATAGAATTAATAATAATAATAGAATATATAGAACCAATAATAATAACAAAAAAAAAACGACGAGTTTATATGGAGAAATAAATAATTAAATAACTCTAATTATAGTGTAAATTCATAAAGTAATTAAAATAATAATAACTAGAAAATAAATAATAATGTTATTTTGTAATAAATGGATCCTTTTGAGGAAATAATTACTCGTTTAAAATATACAGTGGAAATCGAAGTTGTTTCTTAATAAATTAAAAATCATTTTTTTACATAAAAAGAAGATTCTATTAAGTATAAATTAATATATGATGGAAGGAAAAATAAGTTTAGATTATCTACTTTATATGAGAGGGTCAAATAGTATTCATAGCCTTTACTTTTTATATTTAAAACAAGGAAATTTGATAAAATATTTGGATTTTTTCTAGATACTAGTTCTCTTTTTGGTAAAAATGGAAAGGTAGTACTCTTTTATATCGAATAGAATACTAATATTAAAGAATTCATATTTTAAAATATGATAGCGAATGATTAAATTATTGATTTGGGAGATGGAGAGATAAAAATAGTAAATGAATCTTAAAAAAATATCAGTAATTGTAATGGATTTGCAAAAAATTAAGGAAATGAAGAAGTATGTAAATTAACTGGAGGAAAAGAATTTTTTTTAAATGAATTTGGAGTTTTTGTTATTTATTGTTAATAAAATTTTCATTATAATAATTATTATTAAAGAGATTGAATTTATAAAATATATTTAATATTATAAATATAAAATTATATTTAAATTTTAAATATTAATATAAAGATTTATTAATATATTTTATATAAGATATAATATATTTATATTATTATAATATTAATTTTTTTTTAAAATAATTAATATTAATAATTTATTATAATTAAAATATTTTAAAAAAATAGTAGAATTTTTTAAATTATTTAATATATATGAGAGAATAATTATAAAAAATAATAAAAAGGTAACTAAAAAGAAAAAATGATGTAAAATATAAGATAAATTATTATAATTCATAAAAAAAATATTATAGAAGAAAAAAATGATAATATTTAAAATATAAAAATAAAATATTCATATATATAAATATAAATATATGTATATATATTTAAAAATATATATATATATATATATACTTATATATTTATATTTTATTATTATTACATATAATATTATTTAGTCATATAATTTATATTTATTTTAAAATTATTACTTATATTTTTTAAATTTATATTTTTTTATAAATTATTAATGTTCTTTTTTATTTAGTTTTATATTTTTGTGTTTTTTAAATATATAAATAGTTTTAATTTATTTAAAAAAAAAAAAAAATTATTTAAAGATTTTTTTAGTTAATATTTTTATTAATTTTTTTTAAAAAAAATAAATAAAATAATAATTTTATATACTTTTTTTATAAATAAAAATTAGAAAACCTATAAAAACCATATAAAAGTAAAAAAAGAACTATGAGAAATATATAAACTATTATTATCAAAATTTTTATAAAATTTAAATAATTTAAAATTAACTAAAAAGTAAAATCATAAAAAAAAAAGTTAAAAAAAATTTAATAAGTACAAAAAATTAAATAAAAAAAAATATATATAAAAAATGTTCAATCTTAAATTAACATATCCTAATGTCCATTTAGAAAATAAATACTCTTAAGAATAAAAATACTAGAATTAAAAACCTTTAAGATTTTTAATAGCTTTTCATATAATTTTTTATTAATTTCCTTAAATAATATACAAACATATACTAGAATCTTAGGGTGTTGCCAATGAAATATTTTAATATATAATACTATTAATTTTTTTTATATTAATTATTATAATTCCTAAAATAAGTCGATTTTTATCAATTATATCTTTAATAATTAAAGTATTTTCCTGTGCTTAGACTACCTTAGCTTTATATTCAATAGCCCACAAAAATTCCTATAATGAAATATTTCCAATTTTAATTTTTTAGTTATTTTTTACCATAAACATTAGTATTTTATCAAATAATATTCTATTAACACTAATAGGGACTATAGGAGAGCATATAACCTATTATTTGTTTTTTATTTATCCAAATTTAAACTATAATTTGTATATATTTGTGAGTTCTTTTGCATTATAAATGTATATAATATACCAAAATCAACATTTAAAAAGAAAATATTTCCTTTCTCAATAAAATGAGAGTGAATATCTATACATAATATAATAAGAAGTAAATGAGAACGTTTTTTTTGTTAATTATAACTCATTATTGGGTAATATAGACATTTATTTTGCTAATTAATAATGCGAAAATGGTTTTTTTTCGTTTTTAAATAAAGAATAATTCAAGTTTTTTACAAGGAATATTTTCGTTTAAGAAATAATTGAAAATTGTAATTATTAAGTGAATTGTTTAGAGAAAAACTAAAAACTGGAAAATGTAATTATTTTTTTGATTAAAAATTATTTTTCGTAAATGGGAAATTCTTCGTTTAGATTTTTCGGAATTTTAAATGACCCAAAAAATAATATTTAAAGAAAGTTTTTTATCAATATTTATATTTTTTTTAAGAATTCCTAAATTAATGCCTGTGTAGTATTCAATGAGGAACTAAAAAATAAATACGAAGGGTTTTTTTAATAAAAACATGAGATTTTTTTGGAAAAAAATAGCATTTTTTTGAAAAAAATGCACCTTTTATTATAATAATATACCCAAGAGTTATAAAAAAAACAATAGAAAATCCACGAAAATATTACATTAATGAAAATTTATATTAATAATTTATATTTATTCGAAATTATTATCAAAAATATGTTTTCTAAGGAAAAAATGATAAAAAAAGAGAATATATAGGAATTTTAGTTTGGTGATTTTCTATGTTATTTATAAAAAAACATTGAAAAAGCTAATTTAGTATTTAAATGTGAAAAAAAGATATTTTTAAAGCAAAATTTTTAAGGGATTTTATAGATTTTTTATAATTTTATATATGAAATTATAGAAAAAGGCACTTTTAAAGAAAAAATTTAAGTTTTTTTTTAAGTTTTGAAAGGCAATAAATAAAAAGACTATAAAAATAATATTTTAATAATTTAGATTTTTTCTGATATTTTTTAATAATAAGAAGAAAACTTATTATTATTAGAAAAAAAAAACAGTCTTTTTTAAATATATTAAAAGGATTTATAAGTAATTAAAGAAAGCATTAATAATTCTGATATTAATATAGAGTATTTAAAATTAAAAAGCTTAAATTTATAAATAAACTCGAAAATAATTGGCTCGTTAGGCCCATTAAATGAGATTTTTATTACCCAAGATAATAAATTTACCTTTTTTTTATATTAAGACTTAAATATATTATTATAATAATAAGAAAATATATAATTCGAGAATTAAAAATACAATGAAATAATAAAATAAATATAGTCTAATAATATTTTCGATTTATACGATAATAAGGAAGAAAAAGATGAAAATGATGCTTTTATTTAAAACCATACACTGAGTTATAATTTTACTTTCGAAAGTTAATAATAAGAAATAAAAAATTAATTTAATAATTACTCATAATAATCTAAATTACCTGGTAGGATTTTTTAATAATGACGAAAAAAAAAAGGCATAAAAGCCTATATATATATATATATACATATGTATATATTATATATATTGTATATATATATATATATATATATATATATATATATGTATATGTATATATATATGTAAATATATATATAAAAAAAAAAAAAACAATTAAAAAAAATCCATAAAAAATAAAAAAAAAATGGGAAATAAACATTCATAAGAAGAAGAAGATTAAAATAACGAAAATGATATATCATTAACACCTTCTAAACCAAAAAATGTTAAAAAAATGATATCAATTACAATAAATGAGAACGGTTAATATGAGGGTTTTCCCGAAGAATGGGTAAATAAGCTTGGTTTATATTAAATAGATAAATCAAAGACTGTAAATACAAAAGATATGCCCGAGGAAGTTCGAGCAACTGACCTTCCTGAAAGTATAATAAGCCTTATAAATGATAAAAAAATGGTAATATCTAAACCTATGAATGTAAAGCATTAAGTGCATATATAAATAGATTAAAATGCACCTTATGGGCTAAAAGGGTTACCTGAGGAATGGTTAGAATTATTTAAAGCTTAAAATATAGACTAGAATGAAATAAAGTAGAATCCTTAAGATATGTTATGTATTATAAAAGGATATGAGTAGGAATTTATTCCAAAAAGACTAGTTTTGCCTACACATGAAAACTTTATAAAACTAGTAGAAAGTTTAAACTATATAGAAGAAGATCCTTCGAAATTTTATAACTTCGAAAATTAATTGGGTAGAGGGGCTATGTGTAAGGTTTATAGGGCCTTTAGAAGAAAAAGTAAAGGCGAAGAATTTGCCATAAGAGTAATGAAATTAAGCGATGATTAAACTTTGTGTAGAACTAAAATCGAAATGGCCTTAATGATAATGTGTTAGCATAATAATATTGTTAAATATATAGAAACTTATAAATATATGGGATGTCTTTTATGGTTATTGAATATATGAATGAAGGAGCATTAACAGATTATGTCTATTCTTATTTCAAAAAAATACCGGAAGATATTATTAGATATATATGTAGGGAAATATTACTTGGGTTAAAGCATGTACATGATCTTAATTAAATACATAGAGATCTAAAATCCGATAATATATTAATTAATAAGAACGGGGAAGTCAAAATTGCAGACTTCGGATTCGCGATCTAACTGACTTAAGAAAAATCACGGAGGAAAACTGTAGTGGGTAATAATATATATATATATATATATATATATATATATATATATATACATATTTTATATATATACTTCTATGTATAGGCACGCCAGCTTGGATGGCACCAGAGCTTATTTTAAAATAAGAGTATACAGAAAAAGTCGATATTTGGTCCACTGGAGTTATTGCTATAGAATTGGCGTTAGGGGAACCTCCGAATTTAAGAATGCCTCCGATTAAAGCTATGTATAATATTGCGAGTAAGGGGCCTCCAAGATTAGATCCGAAAATATTTTCATAAGATTTTTGTCATTTTATAGAATGCTGTTTATAGAAAGACCCAAAAGATAGAATGAAATGCGATTAACTATTGAATTTGCCGTTTATTAAGAATTGTGAAGGAAATGCGTAAGATAAGTTTAGGTAAATGTTGTTAGATAAAAGAAATAAGTAAATAAATGTAAACGGAGAAGGGAAAATTGAATTATTTTTACATGAATAATTATAAAATTATTAGTTAAATTTTTTAAAAATATAAAAAAAAAAAAAAAAAATTATATTATATATATATGTAATAATTTTTTTCAAAAAGAAAATAAATAAGAAAAAATATATTAAAATATAATATAAATAAATAAAAAGATAAAAAAAAAAAAAATTATTATATTAAAGATAAAATTTAAAATAATTATATATTAAATATTAAATTTTTTATATATTATATTAATAAAAAAATTAATATAATAAAAATCATTTATTATAAATCATTATAATAAATATAATAATATATAAATAATTTTAAAAATAAATATAAATATATATATATTTATATATATATATATATATATATAAATATTTATATATATATTTTTTTTTACATATATTTTTTATAAATAATTTATATATATTTTAATATATTTTTCAATATATCTTTTGTTATTTTTTTTTAATAGTTTAAAATAAAAACATAAATTTACTTTTTATATTTAAGTAACTTAAATAGGTAAACAAAAACTAATTATATATATTTCAAAATATTTTTATATTTATATTTAAATTATATATTATTAAATTTACTACTTATTAAATATTTTTATATTTTAATTTTTCATTTTATTTTTTTTATTTTATTTATACATAAACTTATAACTAAATTACTAATATTAATTATTTATCAATATTTTATTTATCATTTTTAATATCCATTTTTATTATTTTTCGTATTTATTTTTTGTTAATTAATTATGTTTAAAATTTTTAGATTCATTATTAATTTTTTTGAATAAATTTAAATTTTATTGATTTTTTAATATTATTTGATATTAAATATATTTTATTTATATAAATATATTTATATATATATATATATATCTTAATTTTTTAATAATTATTTAATTGTTTTACAATTGATTAATATTAATATTTATTTTTTATAATAACATAATTTTTTTTTATTTTTTATACTCTTTGTATATATATCGTTATATATTTATATTAAAAATTATTTATTTCACTAAATATTCCTAATGTTTTTTTTTCAATTTCTTAATGTAAAATATAATTTATTACTATTATTATTAAATTTATAAACTTCTAACAATAATAATTTTAGTGTCTTTTTTGGATTAAATTTTAGAGAATATTATAAATATTTAATGATAAAAATATAATGTTTTATTATTTTTGTATATATATTTAATTTTATTTCTTTTTTTATATATTAAATGGTATATAACTATATAAAAAAAGAAGGATTGTGAGTATTTTCATCAGATTTTTATATAAATGTTAGTTCATTATTGACATTTTTATTTGTTATTAATTATATTTTATTACTAAAATAGTAAATAAAAAGATATCTAAATATTTTTAAATTTTTTGTAAAAAAAAATTAAATATTTTTATATTTATTAATTATTTTATTATTATATAATACTCATTTATTATAAACAAATACGAATAAATAATTAATATAGATAAAATATTATTTTAAATAAATTCTATTAATATAGTTTATGAATTAAATAAATAAAAAGATTACTAAAATATAATATAATATGAAGTTTAATTGACAAATAAGAAGTTAAATGTAAATTATTAATATATATTTAAAATTATTTATTATATATAAATATATATTTATAAAAATATAAAAGGAAGAATAATATTGAATAAAATAAAAGAATTTTTTTAATTTATATAAATTTAATAAATTAAAGTGTTTATATGTTAGTATATTTGACTATAAATGAATATAGTATATAATTGATATAATATTTATATTTAATATTTATATTTATATATTCATTTAAAATTAGATCTTATAAAAGAATAAATATATAAAGTCGCATATATTTATCAATTTAAAAAAAAAAGGAATAGTTTATTGATTTAATATTTTAAAATATCGTTTTTTGTTAATAATATAGTAAAAAATAACAAACATTAATATTTTATAAAGAAAATGGATAATGATTCAGTAATTTTTATTTTATTAAAATATATTAAAATTTATTTATAATGATAAAAGTATGTAGAAGTTTAAAAAAAACATTACTTTATAAATAAATGTATATATGATAAGTTATAGATTACTTTACAAGTTATAAATTAATTAAAAAAATTAATAATATTTAATAAATATGCTTTAATAAAACATAAGATTATATAGAAATTTTTTCATTAAATTTTTTTTAAGTATTAGTTATTAATGGAAAATAAAAATATATATATTAATAATATATATATAAATTATATATTTATATATTTATATATTTATATATTTATATATATCTTATAAATGTTATAATTAAAATTATTATTAATCCATTTTTTAGATTTTTAGTTTTTTTTAATAATATTTATTATTTTTAGATTTCTATCTAATATTTTTTTTTTTCTAAAAAAAGTTTATATATACACAAAAAATTAATAGTAAAAAATTTTATTAAAAATCTATCATTAATTTATTTTATTAAATTTTATATTCATTTATTATCTTTCCAATTACTTAATATACCATTTTACCATTCTCCCATACTTTTATTATTTTAATTTAAATAAAAAGTTCCATTTCCATGTTATTTTCCTTCTAACCAATTTCCACAATACTACTACCCATTAGGAAATTTAAAAACACCATATCCATTTTTTTTATCATTTTTATATTCACCTTCATATTATTTACCATCTGGCCAACTCATCTATCCTTTCCCATTCATCATGCTATCTTTCCATTCTCCTTTATAAACTTTCCCATCAGCCCATCGATAAACTCCATAACCTTCTATTAAATTATTGACGAAGTTACCCTCATACACTGACCCGTCTTAAAAATACAATTTACCTTGACCATGCTTTTAATTTTTTTAATAGCTTCCAACATACTTTGAACCATTGACCCATTCTTCGGTACCTTATCCATCCTTCATATATATAAGTATAAATATACATATAAGTATTTATTTACCTTCTAATCATCTTTCCAATTACCATCATATTTAGTACCTCCTATGTGTATATATATTCCTTTACCATTAGCTTTATTGTTTTCCCATTATCCTTCGTAATAATCGCCGTTTGAATGAATAAATTTTCCTATTCCACACATTTTATCGTATTTCCATTCTCCTATATATTTTGTTTGATCAAACCATGTAATTTGGCCGAATCCGTCTCGCATTTTATTTAACCATTCGCCTTCATATATAACATTGTTATCTATTGTTATTGGTGGCAGTTTATTTCTTGTTTGATATTAATTGTTGATTTGATTTTGATGTTGGAGTGATATTTTTAAATATACGGAGTTTATTTGCTTTAAATTGTCTTGATTATTATTTTATTATATTTCTTTAGTTTTAATTTCATTGTTATTTTTATCTTAAGGGATGTTTTCGGAAGATTTAGTAGTGTATTTAAATTGGACTTCTTAGGATTTTATCTCTTGGTCTATTTCTTTTATGTTTTGGCATGTTGTTGAACATCCTCCCATTTAATATTTATATATATATATATATATAAAAGAAAATTATATATGTGTAAATATATGAAGTAATATGCTTTTTTAATTAATTTATTTGTTTGTTAGTATTTTTTTTTTTTTTTTTTTCATTTAACTTTTTTTGTTTTGTTTTATTATTAATAAAAAAAATATATATATATATTAAAATAAATAAAATAATTGTGATTGTAATTAGATTTTCTTATTTTTTCTTATTTTTTTTTATTTATTTATAAATTGACAAAATAATAAAAGATATAAATTAAAATTTATCATTAAAAAACTAAAAATAAATATTTCCGAAAAAAAAAAAAAAACAAAACAAAATAACAAAAAAAAAAAAAAAAAAATGTCGAATTAACAAGAAAACAAAATGAGAGAAATTAGAATTGCAAAATTAGTTATTAATTGCTGTGTAGGTGAATCTGGAGATAAACTTACAAAAGCAGCAAAAGTTTTAAAAGACTTATCTGGATAAGAACCATGTTTTTCTAGAGCAAGATACACCATTAGATCATTTGGTATTAAAAGAAATGAAAAAATGGCAACTCATGTTACTATTAGAGGAGACAAGGCTTAAGATATTCTCGAAAGAGGTTTAAGAGTCAAAGAAATGGAGTTAAGAAAAAAAAACTTTTCAAAAACAGGTATATATATATATATATATATATATAGAATATAAATAATTATTTATATATAGGAAATTTCGGATTCGGTATATAAGAACATATTGATTTAGGAATGAAATATGATCCTTATACGTAGAAATATTTTTTTTAATATAAACTACATATATATATATATATATATATATATATATATATATATATATATATATATTTATACATATAGTGGTATTTTCGGTATGGACTTTTATATTGTACTTGAAAGACCTGGAAATAGAGTTGCTAGAAGAAGAAGAAGATAAAGCAGACTAGGTATTTATTTTTAATTTTTTAAGGCTTTTTTTTTTTGTTATAAGAAAAAATATATATAAAGGAAATAACTAAAAAATTACTAAAGAAGAATGTATTAATTGGTTCAAATAAAGATTCGAAGGAAATGTTTATTGAAAACACTATTATTAGAATTTAATTTTAGATAAAAAAAAAATATTTTATATGTAGGTTTTGTTTTTTTTTGTTAATTGTATTATTTTATAGTATTTATTATGTTATGGGAGAGATATGTTAATTAATAGTTATTTAAACTTGTTTTATTTTATATTTTTTTAATGGAAATATATATATATATATATATATATATATATATATATTTATATATTTAATTAAATATATAAAATAAGAATAATTTATGTTTTATATTAAATAAAATAACCACAAAATATAATTTATCTAATTAAATGAATTAAAGTGAAGATTTTTTAGATTAAAATATTGTAAAAAAATGCAATCCTTTTGATTGTTTTACTAACTGCTGTACAAGGGATTATAAATGCCCTTTAAATAAAAAAGATTGTTATTTTTATAAATGCGAGGTTGATTTTTGTAGATAGAATGAATGCTGTATTTAAGGAAAATGCTTTAGTCAATATATTTGTTAAGAAATATAAATTTAAAGATATATTAGTATATGTGTGTTTTTTTTGGTTGGAATTATATTGTTTTTAGTTATTAAATATAGAGGAAGTCAAGAAAATATATAGGAGTTTTAAAATGATGAATAAAATAAATCATTTAAAAAAGATAATAAAGATACTAACTAATAATAAACTAAATTAAACTCGAAAAAATAATTATAATTAGTATGTTTGAGTCATAATAATTCATAAATTTAAAATAAAAATGAAACAAATTAACTATAAAAAGGATGATTATATTTAATGTGTATATATATTATTAGATATTTATATATATAAATATATAAATATAATAATATATATTTATATATATATATATATATTTATATTTTTTAATAATGTTATATGTTCCTAAAGTTTATGTTTTTATATTCAAATAATAAATTTTTAAAAATTGTTATTTAATAATTTTATTCTTTTAATATTATGACTGCTATAAATTATCATATATTGTATTTCTAGAATTTGTTTACCATAAAATATTAATAAAAATTAATTTATAATAAAAATACTTAAACATATATATATATATATATATATTTTTAAATAAGAAAAATAACTTTAACTATAAAATCCTTATATATTAATTTTTTTTTAATTTTAAAAAAATAACTATTTATTTATAATAAATAAAAACATATAAAATTCCATTTTTTTCAACTTACAGTAATTTCATTTTGACATCCTTAAATAATCTATGTATGAAATTTACATCTTTTCTTATTAACTTTACACCAATTAGTATTTTCGAGTAAATTTTAAAGCTTCAAATAATTTTTGGATTCCAAAATTTTAGGCATTTAAGGTTTAGAGTAATCTACGCAATTATTTGAATTAGAAAAGACTATATCCATTAGTACATTTATGATACATTAGGGGTGTTCTCCATCTTTATATTAATAACATTCTTATGCTTTTAATTTAGTTTCTTCTAACATATCCTCGAAGATTAAATCAGCTTATTATTCGGTTAATACAGTCTTTTTTTTTAACATTACTTCAGGATCGAGTTTATGCTTTGCAAGAATATGCTTAATTGAATTAGGTGATGTTTTTTAAGATATTATTCTACCGTTTTTGGATATTTTACGTAAATATTATTACATTATTCCTTCATTTTTTTTTATTACTATTTTATATGATTCACATTAGCATTTTTCTAGTAAATTTATTGTCTCTTAAGGAGATTCTTTTTCAAATTATTCTTCTAAAGATTTGGTTTTGTCTATGTTTGAATCGAATTCGTCGACTTGGAATATACGAATGTTACTTACTACATAAGAATCGAAACTGTTTTTATAATCAGAATTACATCTTTTTAGATATAAGTTTTATTCTTTTATTACACCATAAATATAGATAATTTAATTCGAATCATCATATGGAGAAACAACCTATTTTTTAAATATATATAAATAAATATAAATAAAAATGATATATATAAAAATGAAAATATAATACTATAATATAAATATATATATATATATATAAATATCTATATATATATATATTTAATAATATTATATATATGATTATTTATTTTTATTTACATCGTAAAATCCATTCCCTAAATAATTTTAAACTAGATATTGTTATTAGTAAATTTCTTATTTTCCAACTTTTTATCCACAAACATCAAATACTATAAATTGCTTATTTTTTGATTCTAAAGACTATTGAGAACTTATTATTTATTTTTCGATTTTTTTTATATCATCATCGTCTATAAATTAGGTTTCTTTGTTTTTAAAACAGTTTAGCATTTTTTTCTCACTTTATAAAGGAATTTCTTTAATTTATTTTATGTTTATAGTCTTACCTTTATTTACTTCGAGTTTATTTAGAGAAGTTTCCATGGAAAATTCGCATTATAATAATGCGCAAGAGAATTTATTGTCAACTTTTTTAATGTGATAGGGATACGCAAGCTTATTTTTTAATAAATATTCAAGTAAATTGGAAGGATCTACAGGCTTAGTTTCTATTTTTACATCAAATTGAGACAAAATTATTGCAAAAATGGTTAATAAACTTCCTTTCTAACCCATGACTGGCTTATTTATATCTGTAAAGGTACATTTGTCGATTTAGTCACCAAATTTTAAGTAACGTTTTTTGAAATTTTCCACTTTGCATAATTCTTCGTTTAATAAAGGTAAAGAATTCCATTTTGCATCTTATAAAGTAAAGATATTTTTGAAAGCAACTTTATAGTTTTATTCATTATTTAAAGTAAAGAGTTTCTAGCATTCTGATAGATTTAGGAACATTTATTTTTAAGAAATAAAAATAGAAAAATCAGTTTCCGGTAAATCAGAGGAACTCTAACTACAAAGTCCGTTTTCATCTGGGAAAATTTAAGTCTCATCAGTACATTAAATACAGTCTGTATAGGCACTTCCTTTGCATTTAGAACATGAAGGATGACATAAATCACATTATTGTAATTTTTAGTTCCAATAATTACCTTCTATACATAAGTCACACCAATCAGATGAACCACATATTTGACAGTTAGAAGGACACAAAAAACAATCTTATTATTCGGCATCATAATATTATGAAGGTGGACATTCTACAGCTTAGCCATCATCAGCTTATACTCCTTCGTCTTAATTAAAATCAAGGCCAAAATCTATCTCAAGTTCATCAGTTTCAGCATCTTTTTGTTTTTCCTATTTTATGCATTCAGTTGGTTCATATGTCAATTCGCCATCGTTTGCGGATATATAGCCTTAAGGACATTTATTATAGCATTTAAAACGATCACCACTAAATAAATATAAATATAATTATATATATATTTATAATTTACCCTTCATGAGACACATAATAGTTCATTTCTGGAGAACATTAAACACATAAATCACTATTATCAATACAATCCATACATGTGAAAAAGCATGGCTTCAGTGTATTAGTTTCCTAATCAAGGAAGTGTCTAGGTTTATCGGATGGATTTTTACATTAACCTCTGCCATCACTTTTTACATTTTTTAATATGAAATTATTTTTGCATGAAATACAGTCCTCAATTGTATTACCCAATTTGCATTCTGAACATGTTTTATGGCATTAACCGCATTCATAAGGATAATCATACTACCTGTATTATCTCTATAAGCATTTCTCAGTCTCGCAATCCATTCCTTAAGGACATTCTTTACAGCCTTCACCAGGTCTTTAAATAATATATAAATATATATATAAGTATATTTTAATTACACAAATAGAAATATTGCAAAGCATTTAGTACATTACCAGGGTTAGGGACCTGTACATGTTTTACATTTATCTGAACAGTCTAAGCATTTTACCTCGTTATTGTATTGGCCTGGTTTACATTATAGACATGTTTTAGTGGTTTATATGAAGCCTTCGGGGCAGGTTTTTATACATTAATTTAAGTGTAATACATATTTTTTGGCACATTATTAGCAGATTTCTGCCTTTTCTCCGCCTGTTAATTCTTCTATTTATTTATTTAAATTAAAATATATATATATATATATATAAATATTATGTGTATGTTTTTTTACTTTCGGTGCATTAAACGCAATAAGGAAGATTACATTTTGTACAAACGCCGCTCTATAGACGGAAATCGTCCTTACAAACAAGACATGTTTCGAAATCTGTTGTACATTTACTACAATATTTGTCTGTGCATCTCATACAGTTGTTTTTGAAACCCTCTTCAGGTGATTAGAGTAATTTTAAGAAGTTTTTTTCGTCAAAAATGCCGTTTACTTCTAGTTAGTCGTCTTAATTGTTACAATTCCAGAGTAATTAGAAGGATTAGATGATTATTTTGTTTAATGTCTCAGCTTATTTAATTGTAAATAACTATTATTCCTCTAAAAACTCAACATTGGGATTCTTATTTAGCAGTTTTTAGGATTCAGGGTCTATTGTTGAAAAATAAGTACCTGAACATAATTTACATTCTTCATATGTCTTACCAAGCATTCTTATAGTCTCCATTTTTCCACAACTAGTATCCTTTTTGTAAAATTCAGTGTATAAAATATACTAAGGAAGACTTATTAAACCATTAGTTATGACAATACTAGATAAATTATTGTTAAATATTTTTAATAATTCTGATAAAGTTTTTTCCTCAAGATGGTTTACAACACCTATTTCAGATTGAAAGTCATATTTAACAATATCTTAAGCATATTTTAGTTTACAATTAAACATTTTTTAGGCAAATTCTAATAATTAAATGTTTAAGCCAATTGCAAATTATATTTCATAACATTTAGAATTATCTAAAAGATTTTTTATAGTAAAAGAGCATTTTACATATGATAAAAAATTAATTAAAAATAATAATAACTATTTTTTATATATTGACATTTTTTTATATTTAACTATTGAATATATGTTAATAAAATTATATATAAAAAATAAATGTAAATTAAATAATATAAAAAATATATATATATATATATATATATATATATATAATTTTATTTATATTATAAATATATATTTATATATATTTTAATAATTAATATAATTTTATTTAATTTTATTAAATAGAACCAATTATATAATTTATTGTAATAATATAAATTAATAATAATTATAATTTTTTTTTTTTTATATGTAAAAATAAATTATATTTAATTACTATTTATGAATTAAATATATATAATTATTTAAATATTTTATTTTTTTTCAATTTTTTTATTAATATTCCTTTTATAAAAATTATTATATATATTTTAAAAATTATTATTTCTACATATAAATTTTGAATATATATTATAATATTTATATAATTATAAATTTATTTTTTATTAAAATTTTCTTGTTTATTTATTTCTTTTTTTATAAAAACTTTATACATATATTTATTTTGATTTTTTCTATCATTATAAATATATATAACGATATTTTTTAATATATTTATATATATTTTTTTTTATTTTTTTATATTATTTTTATTTATATTTTTTTATTTTATTAATTTAATTAAAAATAAAATAAAAATATAAGTTGAATATATATATTATTTATTATATAATAATTAAAAGATAAATTATATATAAAAAAATATATTTATAAAATATTTTTATTTATATATTTAATTTTTTTATTTAAAATTGTTTATAATTCAATCTTATATATTATAATTAAATAAATATATAATTAATGCATTTTTTATATAAAATAATAATTTTTATACTATTATATTTGTATATAAATATTTTTTGTTTAATTTAAAGTTTTTATTTATAATTTAATAAATATAATATAATAAATACTATGAAAATAAAATAAAATAAAGATATGTATAAATAGAAATATACACAAAAAATTTATTTATTTATTTATAAATAAATATAAACTAATATAAATATGTATATATTTATATTAATTTATATATTTTTATATTTATTTTTATTTCTTTTTATTTTTATATTTTGTTTTTTATTTTATTAATTTTTTTTTTTAAAGATTTTTATTTTTATCTAATTCTGTTAAAATTATTTATTATTGAAATTTTTAAATTTTAAAAATTTTTAATAATAGGCATTTAAGATTTAATAAATAATTTTTATATTAAAATGTATTATTTTAAAGAATCAAAAAAGTTTTTTTAAGATTTATTTTTATGTATATATATAAAAAAAATATACTCTGTATAAATGTATATATAAATCTAATTTATATATTTATTATAAACAATATATATTCTTATTTATTTTTTATAATACTAATAAATATTTAAGAAAATAAAATTTATTCTTGATTATATAATATTTAATATAAAAATGATTTTTTTATTTATTTGATAAATAGCATATATAATTTATATTTAGTATTTAATTTTATTCTACAATATATAAAGGTGCTTAGTAATATGTTTAATATTTCATTAAAAATACATATTTAAAATAAATTAAAAAGAAAAAGGATTTATTATAAGATATTATATTTAAATTAATAAATATATTAAATTATTTTTTAATTAAAATAATTTTATTTTATATTAAATAATGTTTATATACATATATTTATAATTAATATATATATTAATAATTTAAAAAAAAAAAAAAACATTCTAAAATATAACAATAAATAAAGGTAATATATGAATATATAAATATATTAAAATACAAAATTTTTCTATATATATATAATAAAAG